CTGCAGACCAAAGAAACAGGGTTGAATACACTGACATCTCCCCTCAATCATATGATCATCTAATCTTTGATAAAGGTGCAAATAATGTGAAGTGGAGTAAGGAAAGCCTCTTTAACAAATTGTGCTGGCATCACTGGGTGGCTACATGCAAAAAAATGGGCTCAGAACTCTGCCTCACACCATGTACAAAAGTAAGATCAAAATCGATTAAAGACCTCAACATCACACCGGAATCCATAAGGTACATTGAAGACAAAGTTGGCAAAACCCTCCATGACATTGAAGCTAATGGTATCTTCAAAGATGCCACTCCACTGGTTGAGCAAATGAAAACAGAGATAGATAAATGGGATTCTCTTAAACTAAGAAGCTTCTGCACCTCAAAAGAAACAGTGACCAAAATACAAAGACAATCTACAGAATGGGAAAGGATATTCGCCTAATACACATCTGACAAGGGGTTGATATCAAGGATATACGAAATACTGGTTGAACTCCACAAGAAGAAAACATCCAACCCCATCAAAAAATGGGGCAATGAAATGAACAGAAACTTTCTCAAAGAAGAAATCCGAATGGCAAAAAAGCACATGAGAAAATGCTCTACATCATTAATCATCAGGGAGATGCAGATCAAAACCACAATGAGATACCATCTCACACCTCAGAGACTGGCCCACATTCAAAAGAACAAAAACAACCAATGCTGGCACGGATGTGGCAAGAAAGGGACACTACTTCACTGTTGGTGGGAATGTCGACTGGTTCAGCCCTTCTGGAAAACAGTATGGATGATTCTCAAAAAATTAGAAATTGAGCTCCCATTTGACCCAGCAATACCACTCCTGGGAATATATCCCAGAGAGGCAAAAATGTATAGTCGAAGTGACATCTGCACTTGTTTGTTCATTGCAGCACTTTTTACAATAGCCAGAAACTGGAAGAAACCTGAATGCCCAAGAACAGAGTGACTGGTTAAAGAAACTTTGGTACATCTACACAATGGAGTACTATGTAGCTGTTAGAAAAGATGAAGTCATGAAATTTACAAAAAAGTGGTACAACATGGAAAGTATCATGCTAAGAGAAATGAGTCAGAAACTGAGAGATAGACATAGAAAGATTGCATTCATCTGGGGGATATAAAGTAACAAAATATGAGATTAATACCCAAGAATAGCTGAGATCAGCACCAGGAGGATTACTCCATAGCTTAGAGGCCAGCCGGGCATTCTAGGGGAAAGGGCAGCTCAGATAGCGAAGGGAGCACCAAATAAAGGGTGTTTGGAGGATCCTCCCAGGAGGGGAGATGCATGTCGAAAGTACACTATGAACTGAACATGTTTGCCACTCAATGCCTCTTTTGCAGATCACAACACCCAAAAGGAGAGAGAGAACACAAGGAATTGCCCTGCCACAGAGGCAGGGTGGGACGGGGAGGATGGGGGTGGGAGGGATATTATCCATGTGGTGGAGGATGGGCACTGGTGGAGGGATGGGTATTTGATCATTGTATATTTGAAACCCAAGTACAAAAAATTGTAAATCTACAACTGTACCTCATGGTGTTTCACTAATAATAAAAAAAATTTAAAAAATTTTTAAAAATTACTTAAATGTCTTACGGGAGCTTATCAAAATACCAATTTTAATAATAAATTTTGAGGGGATATATTATTTCATATTTAGAGTGTTTCTGATAACAATGCTTTATATTCTAAAGTTTCTGTGACTTCAATATCTTCTTGTTTTGGTTCTCCCCTAACATAATAGGATGAATAGCACAGCGGTAGGGCGTTTGCCTTGCACACAGCCAACATGGCCAACCCGAATTCGATTCCTCCGCCCCTCTCGGAGAGCCCGGCAAGCTACCGAGAGTATTCGATATGCCAGACACAGTAACAACAAAGTCTCCAATGGAGACGTTACGCAAATCGATGATCAACTATAAATTAGAAGTGAGAAATATATTGTAATTTGTATGTGGGGTGTTTCATTAAAAAAAAAAAACCCTGGTGAATGCCAACTTCCAGAACCCAATGAGAAGTGCAGGTATAAAGTTTCAGTGATGACAAATTCCAGGCCTCAAGGAATAGGGGATGGGCCCATCCTTCTTACCTCCCTATCCCATGGGACCCCGGAGGTCACGTCCACACACTGCCTCCATAATCTCCTTTACAGACATGATTAAGAGGAACACAAAAGAATGTCCAAACCAAGCAACCTCCTACAGAGATTTCTCCAGACCCTAATTATCTATAATTTTAGAATTCTAGGAGCACATGGGTGCTCTTGTGGCCACTCAACATCTTATGCTATTCATAACAAGTAGTACAAAAGAGAATAAGGGGAAGATTGCCATAGAGGCAGGGGGAGGGGTGGTATGGGAGTATACTGGGGGCCTTGGTGGTAGAGGATATGCACTGGTGGAGGGTTAGGTGATTGATCATTGTGTGACTGAAACTCAAACAGGAAAGCTTTGTAACTGCATCTCACGGTGATTACAATGATAATAATAATAATAATAATAAAATTAACATTCTGAATAAAAAAAGTAATGTGGAGTTCATTCACAATTCAATTAGCTTATTCAATGGCTGAATAAATAGCAGTACTCCTACATTTTAAAAAATGATCTATGGGGCCGGAGTGATAGCACAGCGGGTAGGGCATTTGCCTTGCATGCGGCCAACCTGGGTTCAATCCCTGGCATCCCATCTGGTCCCCCAAGCACCACCAGGAATAATTCCTGAGTGCAGAGCCAGGAATAACCCCTGAGCATCGATGGGTGTGACTCAAAAAGCAAAAAAAAAAAAAAAAAAGATCTAGCTACATGCAGGACAAATGAACAAAGTTTTGTATATCATGTCAACCTAAGTCAAAGAACTTTCCAGGTTTTATAAAATACAGTCAGTTTACTGAGTAAGAAAAGGAAAAGAGAAGCTTGAAAGTAATCAAGAATATTCCATATTTTTAAATATCTTACATTTCATATCCACTAAACAGAGAGGATAGCTGTCACATAATTGACCTGAAAAGACAGAAGCCTATAAATCATTTCCACTTTCCCAGTTGAGTCTAACATTTTTCTTCAAGAACTATATAGATAAAGTTGTTACCCTTAATTTTTCACTCATACCTTCACAGAGCCAGATGGAGAATCATCACCTTTGAAAACGCCCATATATGGATTTAACAAGGGCCAAGGGTAAACAGAGGTGATGAGGTTGAGGAAGCAGAATGAGAACCAAGGGTCCATTTTATACTGGAGATACATAGAAATGATTTGGCTTTTTACACTATATAATGTCAAGGAACTATTATTGAATAAACTATTCTTGCAACATTGCTTTTCAAATCATAAAGTATTCTGGGATGTTATTGGCCTCCTACACTCTTCTCAGTCAGTCTTTTCAAAAGTGGTCAATCCCCTCCACCCCACCTGAGGAGCTGGAATGATGGAAGAGAACAGCAGTAGCCTTAGATGGAGCTTAGAGAAACTAAATGTTTCTTCATTGAAAGAAGGTATATTCTAAGATGGCACTAATTATTTTTCTGAAAAAAAAAGGGGGGTGAGAGACAAAATAAATTTGGAAGCATCTACTCTCTATTTGGATATTAGTGCTACTACCTATCGTTAGATACCATATATAATCTTCCTTTTGGTGCCTTTTATTTATTTATTTTTCTCTTTTGATTTTGGATATACCCAATGGAGGTAAGGGTCTACTTCTGGTGTACTAGGGGACCATGACATGAATTAAACTTGGGTCAGGGTTAGCCATATGCAAGGCAAGCATTAACCTATGTACATTAACCTATGCACTGTTCAAAATAGTTTTAAATAGAAACGAAAATTGAAGGAACTCTAGAGTCAAATGACTCACCCAAAGTCACACTACTAGTAAGTGGCAAAGACATATGGATGAATCTGGAGAATATCATGCTGATTGAAATAGTTCAGTGGGAGTCGGATAGACACAAAATGATCGCACTCACAAATCACAAATCACAAATCATTCTGTTATTCGTCGATTGCCTCGAGCAGGCCCCAGTAACGTTTCCTTCATCCTAGCCCTGAGATTATATTCAAGGCTGTTTAGGAGAATGAGACCCATCATTGTTACTGGTATTTGGCATATTGGGTACACCACGGGGAGTTTGCTAGATCACACTCATATGTCAGAATTAAAGAAACCAATATTTGCACTATAATCTTTAATAGAAAATTTCATTAATTTCAACCGAGGAATTGAGAAAGACTAGGTAAAGTAGTGAAAGCCTGAGCTGGACATCACAGACGAAGAACAACTTCACAGATGGAAGAAATGTGACGTAATTTCATTCCCAGAGAAGGTAACAAACATGAAAGTGTGGGTGACTAGGAAAGAAGACAGGGAAGGCCAAGCAATGACAAAAGCCAGCCCTGCAGAAAACAGGAACTCAGGCCTGATAAGACCCTCACCTGGTTCCAGGAATAGACCCAAAGAAGCTCCTGCAGGAACAAAAGGCCAGGAAAGGAATTTCAAAGAAGACCATCACCTTTCCCAACCCCCCTGGTAACCTTAGCAACAGACTTTGACCTAGGTAGAAGCCCCACATGGGGGAAGGTTGGAGAAACCCTATAAAGGCCACCTTGAGCAAATTTGCAAAACTAGGTAATGTGGGTGACACAAGATGCAGTAGGGGAAGTGATGAGTGACGTTGAGATCTGGGGTGTGGACACTAGAGCAAGGCACAGGAGACCCACAGACAACTGAATTGGCCTGTGGCCTGGGTTTCACCCTGAAGGCACAGGCCTTCAGGGTTTTGAGCTGCCGCCAGATTGGGTCTCTGCTTGAGAGGCAACCTGGAAGATGGTTAGCTAAGGATGAGGGAGACAAAGGCATGTTTCTAGGGCTCTTGTCCCTTCTTTGGTGGCTCCACCTCACCAAGGCTGTTCCTCAGAGCTTGTGAGAGAGCAGGAGACCCGAACAGGAGTGCAGAGGCAATCTCTGGAGTCATGAGTGGGCTGAAGTGGGAGAAGGGAGTGTTGAGAGCTGTAAGTCCAGCTCTAAGTAGAAGTCGGTGATCATGTCTTCACCAAGTGTGTTGGTGAGACTGACGGGTTGGTCGACCTCCTGCGACGTGCAGAGATACCAGCCTGGACAGGCCACTGACTCAAAGGTGCTGGTGGCGTAAATTTCTGAGTAGATGAATATGAAGCGCTTGTCCTGTTCCTTGTTGCTCAGGTAATTGATGTCAACAGGCTAGAAGTTGAGAGATGAGTGAATAAGAGTTGAGGAGCTGAGCAGATATTGCTTCACCTCACCTTGACATAGTCCTTCAGCTGGCCTCAAGTGAGTACTAGAGAAAGACTGACCCGGAGATCCCAGTGGGAGCCATGGCTGACCCCCATCTCTAAGGCAGTAACAACAAAAGGCAACTGTCTCATTGTCGCTCTTTGGCTTTGGGAAATCTGGACATTCTAGCCGTAGGCAAATAGGTTGAGTATATGACACTGTAAACAGAGGCCCAGGAATGTGAAGGCTCCCCTTTGTCAGGTTCTGTGCCTTGGAGGCGAGGTATGGAAGAGGACGTTGGCAGAACATTGTGGTCATTCAATGTACAACATACAATGTTCTAGTCAGGCCATCTCCTCATATGTGGGTACCCTCCAAACAAGTGTTCTGTCTGTGGATGAAGGCTCATGTTGTGATCATTCATATTCGAATCAAAATCTTATCCAATAAGGTCCTGAGACATCTTCTCTTAGGACTGGTAGTATCCAGAGTATCCAGATCCAAGAGGATCCAGAGGTCCAGGATGGATCCCCAACTTGGGGTTTGAAAAGATGAGGATTGGCAGAGAAAGGCTAGCAATGCTGGCATTAACATGTCATTGCTGTATCAGGAGGTTTGAAGCCCTTGGGAGAGAGGGTCACAGGGAGACTAAGGTCCCAGGTCCTCAAATGAGGTCAGCCATCTGAATTCACATCGTGTATGGCCCCCTCCTTCATAGATAGAGCCATATGACTGGTTTTTGCCAATGGAGTATTAGTGCAGGCAAAGGTTTAATAAGCAGACCTAGGCTGGGTTTGGGGGGAAAGATGCCTCTTGGAGCCAGTAGCCTGGTTGAAAGGAAGCTCAAGGTAAATAGGGGTCTCCATGAATCTGGAGGATGAGAAACCAACCTGGGAGACTCCAGCACCCTCTCCAGCACCTGCTGAGTCCAGACTGCAGGAGTGATCCCAGCAAGGCCAAGTGGAACGAATTGCCCAGCAAATCCTTGTCTGCTCACAGAATGCTGGGAAAGAGTGTGCTGTGGTTGCGTTAAGCTACTGGGGCTTGGGCAGTTATCTTCTGAGCGAAGTTCTTACCTCCAACTCTAGCCTGACCTTATCACCATAGTTGACACAAGACAGGCACAGCGTCCTCCCATGGATCCCCAGGGACACACCATAAGGCTCAATTTTCACGAAATCTAGCTTCACTGGGGAAGAGCAAAGGAGCAGGTCAGATGCAGAGAAGAGGAGACAACATGGTTTTTTTCCCCCTGATGAACTTCTATCTCCCTAACCTAAAGTCAGTTCAGCAGAAAAATGCAGCACCTTCTTGCAGATAGCCAAATAGCAGATAAATGCACATGCACTATCTAGCTTCTCCTTGAGGACCAAACTGCCTAGATTCTGCCCTATGTGATTTCAATCCTTTCCTCACTCCCACACTATCTGTGCTCCAGGCCAGTAATCGAGTTGCCCATGGAGGAAATATTAATCCCCCAGGTCATGAGTGTGGTTCCAGGACATGGTCCACATAATCTGGCTGTCTTTGAGCCTACCTTTCACCTGGGGAATCTCATCTTCACTTGTAGCTGTGAAAGATCTCAAGCCTCTCTCTCTCTCTCCTCCTGAGTTTCATCAGAGTTAACAGAACAGGAAACACAGATTTCACTCTCTTTCAGAGAGAGACCCTGATGGAGTTGTGGGGAGAAGAAAGAGGGTGGGGAAGGGTGAGGAGATAGGGAGTTGGAGACAATGCCCAGTCTGCAGAAAGAATATAGAAATATCCTAGAAGGCTAGGGCAAAAAAAGAATCTCACATCACTTATCCAAACGCCCTCATTTTACTAATGGAGTGAGCAGGCAAAGCATTCCAAGTTCATCCAGCTCATTTCAAACACCAACCAGAATCTCAATATGGCAGATACATACTGGGTATGTCAAGATTTGAACGACACATACATGGGTATAAGTCAAGATTTGAACAATAGGGACAGGTACAGGGAGCAGAAGGGTCTGTCTCTGGACCCCATCCATCCCAACTGTGGGCCTGAGATCACCGTGCTCTATGTATTGTCTCTCATCCTGGACTCTGCCTCTCGCTGCCTTCTTGAGCTTGACTTCACATGTGTCCTCCAGTGGTCAGGCTTCCACAGCTTCAAACTTGTCCACATAATCCAAAGGATATGAAAACATTGCACCTACGCTTTCAAGGGGAAGGTCCTAAGGCCACAGGCCCTGGAGAAAAGCAGCTAAGAAACTTTGTGTCTATACATCATAATTCCCAGAAACTACTCACCTTCCAATTCAGAATTTGCTCCTTGCAAGTGTCCAGCGAATAGTTGGTTATTCCTCAGGTAGAATACCTTCTGGTGTAAATCCCAGATTCTGAAAAGCAAAAGGACTCTGCTGTAAGAGGCCCTGCTCTGGGTCTGGCCCTGTGCTCAGCCCCTCCCTAGTGCTTGTTGAATGTGCCTTCCCCTTTCTGCCAAAGGTGTGGTCTTCTGGTTTACCAATGGCATGAAAGAGGAGGAGGATGACACTGGTTAAGAGACAGCCTCAATCCCACATCTAATGGGTGGTGTACCCACAATACACTCCCCTCTCTACCTCCCCCTGTCATCCTCAAGACAAGGCCATGTAAGTGGAACACCCTCCAGTAGGTTTCTTGGAGTGCATCAATATTCTCTCTCTCTCTCTCTCTTCTCTCTCTCTCTCTCTCTCTCTCTCTCTCTCTCTCTCTCTCTGTCTGTCTTTACTGTGCAATATGGTAGCTCCCACCACTTCTGGTTGTCCCCCTCTTGCCACAAGGCACAACCTAGTCTCTTTCATTTCATTCAATTTCTTAAAACTTAAAACGTAAATTTAGAACCACAGGAGATCAGTGGCCAACACAGTAGAGTGTTAGACATATCCAGGGAGAGATCCCCTTTAGTTAACTTACTCCAAGCTGTAGATTCTTGTCCCCAGGGTCTCCCTTTCATCACCCAGTGAGCTGTTTCTGGTACCCTGCCTTTTTTTTTAGAAGGGCTCAGAGATCAGGGCTTGCAGCTCTGAAAAAATGGTGAGCAGAGAGTCCACGAGGTGGCCCCGCCACTCCCGATGCCTACTAGAGCAGGCTTGGACTTGTGCCCTTGTCCTCCGCTGTGAAGTGTGGCCAAGGCCACTGATCATGCCAAGAGGCTGGAAAGCGAACACAAGATTGACAAGAGGTGATCAGGTGATCTCTTCACTTCTCCCCTACCTACTTCTGTGATTACTTTTAGTTCCTGGACCAGTGTCAGGCTAAATATTCCTTATTAGAACCCTCCTGAGGCAGCTCCTGGGGCTTTCTTTTTTAAAAAAAAAAGTAATTAATTAATTAATTAATTAATTTGTTTCTTGGGTCACACCCAGTGATGCACAGGGGTTACTCCTGGTTCATGCACTCAGGAATTACTCCTGGCCATGTTCGGGGGACCATATGGGATGCTGGGAATCGAACCCAGGTCGGGCCACGTGAAGGCAAACGCCCTACCTTCTGTGCTAACACTCCAGCCCTCCTGGGGCTTTCTGTGATGAACTGCAGTTCCCATCTTTGCACAGGGGAAGGACTTGCTTGGATGCACACACAAACATAAGTACGTGCTCACACAAGGGCGCACGCATGCACTTATACGCACTCATGCAGGTACCTATGCAAGCACAGAGACCTTATCAACTGCCTCAAGCCAGTGAAACTCTGAGATGCCAAAAGAAAGGATCCAGACATGACTTTAGCCCTGGGGCATCCATAATAGAGGGAACATAGAGAGGGTTCTCTAACCAACTCCCCAGCCTGTCATTTTCACTACATCGATTTGCTCGAGCGGGCCCAGTAACGTCTCCATTGGAGACTTTGTTGTTACTGTGTCTGGCATATCGAATACTCTCGGTAGCTTGCCGGGCTCTCCGAGAGGGGCGGAGGAATCGAACTCGGGTCGGCCATGTTGGCCGCTTGTAAGGCGAACACCCTACCCTCTGTGCTATTGCTCCAGCCCTTTCACTACATCAGCAGTGGTGAAATCATTCTCCCAAAGCTACTTGCCCTGTTTTAAATAATCATGATAGTTTCCCTGTACCTTACAGTTCAGAGAACACTCTTTGGTTATCTGTGCATTAGCCCCTTTTGGTAGGCAGAGAGTCAGGCTGTGCTTCCTCAGCCAGATGAGAAAACCAGGTGTACCTACACCAAAGGCATTGTCCAACACCAGAACTGAACTTTGGCAGTTGGTTCTATGTCTCTGTCTCCTCCTGGCTAGGCCCATATCCCAGAAAGGGTCAGTGATAAGTTAGTCACTGAGTTGTCTGTGTCCCTGGGCAAGTCAGGAAGTGCTCCAGCAAAGCTTGGAATGTCTGAAATGTTTAAAAATGAAGGCCTGAAGACCACGATGGGATGTGGCAGTCTCTTCCTTCAACAACAGACTCAAAGCTACAGTAGCCCCAGAGAGCTGCACTGGAGAGTCTTCCTCACCACTTTCTCCTCTACCTCCTCACCACCTTACCTGATGGATGGAACTTTCATGAATCCCGTTTTTGTGGTGAAGCGGGATGCCTCTGGATGGCACAGGAAAAAGAGGAGAGCAATTAGGTGACTGTAGTTCTTGCAGATGTCCATCCTGTGACCCTCAACAAGGCAAGGGAGACTGCCATGGCAGGTCCAGAAGAGCAGCTTTTAAAGATAAGAGCTGTAGTGAGTGGGCTCTTTGGTGCATAGCTTTCACAAGAAATTGCCTATAAAATATTTACAGGATTAATAAAGGCATTTTACAAGAACAGGAGGGTTGGCCAACAGGAACTAAAACACAGTACATGACATTCTTGATGTCTGTCTGTGATTTAACCACTAGCCTTCTGAAAAGCCCCTGATAGTCTGTTATCTCTCCCATCTGTCCCATGACTACCCTTATCTGCCTTTGTCCCAAAGCTATGAGGGACAAAGCTTAAGCTCAAGGTATATAAGTGCTGCCGAATTTACAATAAAGCAGCTTCAGCTTCTGTTCACTATACTCTAATCCTGCTGTCTGTCTCTTTCTTTCACTCTCACACCCTCTCCCTGTTACCCACGTTGACTAGTCTCACGGGAGGAGACAGGTGGGACTCAGTGTGGGGCAGGGCATGAGGGACCCCTGAAGCGAGCGTTGCAGAGAAGTGGCCATGATCATAGGAGTCATGAAGACTTCGGGAAAGGTGAGCTGTGAATCTCTTTTCTCAACCTATGTCAGAAGGGGACTAGGTGGTTGAAGAATTGATCGATCAAAGAACTCTTTCTCTTCTCCCCCACTCATGGCATGTCTCTCCTCTATTGATTTCATTATGTCCTGCCACAAGATTTGCCATTCATATTCTTTTTTTAATTATTTTTTAAAAATTTTTATTAGTGAAACACCATGAGGTACAGTTGCAGACTTACAAATTTTTGTGCTTGGGTTTCAATTATACAATGATCAAATACCCATCCCTCCACCAGAGATCATTTTCCACCACCACGGGTCCCAGTATCCCTCACACCCCCCATTCCCCCCTACCTCCCTGCCTCTGTGGCAGGGCATTTCCTTTTGTTCTCTCTCTCTCCTTTTGGGTGTTGTGGTTTGCAAAAGAGGCATTGAGTGGCAATCATGTTTGGTCTATAGTCAACTTTCAGCATGCTTCTACCATTCATATTCTTTTTGACCTCCATTATCTTCATTGTTATTTGTCTGTTTGAACGCTGTTTCTCCTAGGCCAACGACTACTCTCCTGTGGGCACGGGTCATGCACTTAAATGCCATTAGGGCACCCACCACTAGAAGACTCCAGGGAAAGGATAAGGGGGTCACAGCTGCAAATCCCAGATAAATTCCCGTCCCCTGCAGAAGAAAAACTGTGCATCAATTAGGTACTCATCACTAAGCATTTCATTCACCACGATTATAGGGAATTGTTGTTGGCTGCTTTTCTGAACCTATCCTCTCTTCCTTCTCACCTCCTTCCTTTCTCCTTTTAGACTTTTCCCCTTTGATCATGGGTCAGGAGTTATTGGTTAGAGAGTAGTTCGTTATTTATCTAAAGGAAGCACTTAAAACTAGGGGGGTTAAAGTCAAAAAGAAGGACTTAATCCATTTTTTTACTTTCCTTTATGTCTGCCCATGTCTGCCGGCTGGAGCGATAGCACAGCGGGTAGGGCGTTCGCCTTACAAGCGGCCAACATGGCCGACCCGAGTTCGATTCCTCCGCCCCTCTCGGAGAGCCCGGCAAGCTACCGAGAGTATTCGATATGCCAGACACAGTAACAACAAAGTCTCCAATGGAGACATTACTGGGCCCGCTCGAGCAAATCGACGATCAACGGGAGGGCCTTACCTTTACCTTACCTTTACCTTATGTCTGCCCATGGTTCCCCCAAGAGGGTACCATCGATGTAAAGCGTTGGAAAAGAGTAGGTGATGCTCTTCAGGATTTTTACAACAAATGTGTGGAAAGGTCGGACTACAGCTGAATCTTACGATGACAATGTTTATGAGAAACAGCCTTGTTCCTGATGGTCCATTCGCTCTCAATGGAACGACCATCTCCAAATGCAACAGTTATGTGTACCTAGGTCGAGAAGTCAAAATGATGAATGTCTTGGCACCTGAATTGCACAGGAGGAAGAGAGCGGCCTGGAAAGCCTTCAAGAGCGTCGAAGAAATAACTAAGAGGAGGAAGAACCTCTGGCTCCGGGGACATGTCTTCAATCCCACTGTTCTTCCTGCATTAACATATGCCTCAGAGACCCGGGCCCTATGCAAACAGGTGAGAATGCTATTCGGGTCTCCCAAAGAGGAATTGAAAGATCTATGCTTGGAGTATCACGTTTCACTCAAATGAGGGAGAGAATCCGGAGTTCTGACCTTCGCTGATGATCGGGAATCAGGGATGCTGTCTCGTTTGCCAAGGCGTCAAAAATCAGATGGGCTGGACAGGTAATGAGATTTGGAGACGACTGCTGGATTAGAGCTGTCACCGACTGGAATCCACTGGATTCCACGCTCACCTACCAGATGGTCAGACTTCTTCATCAAGATCCTGAATGATTGGTTTGAGGCTCTTCGTTTTCCTAGAAGGAACAGACGCCATTGGGCTACACTAGCAAGCGGCAGGGACAAATGGAGACGTTACTGGTGCCCGCTCAAGCAAATCGACGATGAACGGGAAGTCAAGTGATCATTAGGCAATATAAATAGACTCAGGCCTTATTTACATGTTACCTTAAACCTTTATTTGACATATTAAAGGGTGATGCTGATCCAACATCCCCTCAAGAACTGTCTCCGGAAGGCCAGCAGGCACTTACCTGAATAGAATCAGCTATTTCACAACAGTTTATCTGTGCTTTTGATTATAAGAAACCCCTTTGCCTCATCATTCTGGCCACCTCACATTCTCCTACAGGCCTTATTTGGCAGGATAGCCCTGTTTCCTGGGTCATTGCCCCCGCCACTCCTCAAAGGATTCTGGTGCCCTATTATGTTTTAATTGTTTTTAGAAATAATTATCCAGGGATATGACTTTAGCAGAAAATACTTTGGCAAAGATACTGACAAACTGATTCAACCCTATTCTAAGGACCAGATTGACTGGTTATTCCAAGATTAGGACCTGTGGCCCATTGCCTGTGCTTCTTTGTCCAGCCCCATAGATAATCATTACCCCACCAATAAATTTTTACAGTTTTTGAAAATGACTCCATTTATTTTTCCTTCTGTTTGCATGCGTCACCCTATCCCTGAGGCCGCTACTATATTTACTGATGGATCTTCCACTGGAACAGCCACACTTGTGATGAAAGACGAGACTTATTTCTTCCCTTCCTTGTATAACTCAGCTCAGCTTGTGGAGTTATGGGCAGTTCTTGCTGCTTTTTTCCCATTGCAGTGATTTTTTCCTTTAATTTGTATACAGATAGTGCATATGTTGCTTATTCCATCCCTTTATTAGAAACCGTTAGTTATCTCAAACTCTCCTTTAATGTGGTTCGCTTGTTTGTGCAAATTCAAGAATTAGAGTTAGAAAGTTTCCCTTTTATACAGGATATCTTAGAGCTCACTCCAGCCTTCCCGGCCCCATTGCACAAGGAAATGCTCTGACTGATCAGGCTACTAAATTTGCGGGAATGATCACCGCCACAGGAGTTGAACTGGCCCAATGAGCACACTCGTTGCACCATCATAATGCCAATACCTTTTGACAAACATTTTCCTTAAGTCGCGAACAGGCTACACAAATCATTAAACAGTGTTCGGCCTGTGTGACCTCTTTGCCTACCCCACACCTGAGGGTTAATCCCCATGGTTTAGTACTTAATGACATTTGGCAGATGGATGTGACTCGTGTCTCTGAATTTGGCAAATTGAAGTACTTACATGTCACTGTGGACACCTTTAGTGGATTCATGTATGGCTCACTGCAAGTGGGAGAAGCAGGAAAGAATTTTCTTGCACATATACTTTCCTGCTTAGCTGTCATGGGAAGACCCGAAATCATTAAAACTGAAATGGACCCGGTTATACAGGAAAAGTTTTTCAGTAATTTTGCTCCTCTTTTGGAATCTCACTGAACAGGTATCCCTTACAACCCTCAGGGTCAAGGGATTGTGGAAAGAGCACACCTCAGTGTAAAAAAAAAACCAAAAAACAACAAAAAAAACATGCTTCACCAATTAAGGAGGGGGCAGCTCTACCCTGTTAAAGGAGCACTTCGTAATATCTTAGCACATGCTCTTTTCATTTTTAATTTCCTAAACTTAGATTATTTCTTTTTGTTTTGTTTTGTTTTGTTTGTAGGAGTACTGCTATTTATTCAGCCACTGATTAGCTGATTGAATTGGGCATGAACTCCACCTTAATTTTTTTATTTATTTTTTTCTTTTTATATTTATTTATTGAATCACTGTGGGAAAAGTTATTAAGCTTTCAGGTTTAAGTCTCGGTCATACAATGATCAAACCCCTTTCCCTTCACCAGTACTCATTTTTCACCACCGAGAACCCCAGTATACCCCCGCTCCCACCCCTCCACCCTTCCAAATGCCTGTGAGGCAGATGATTTCTACTTAACTCTTCTCTACATATATGACATTCATTATTTCGACAAAAGATGCACCATTATTGTTTAGAATTCCCCCCAAACAATCAGAATTGCTGAAAAGACATTTTGAAATATTTTGTTTTCTATAGCTGGTTATGAGAATCATATAATGTCATGCGGCCACAATTTTGGATTTCTGCCAAGAGCCAGATAATTACAAGACTGGTTTCTGTGTGTCTGGTGTTATGGCCATGCCGGAGAGCGGCTCGTGGGGGGTAACTCGTGACCTCGGTAGGGCGTGAAGGACGTACTGGTACCGCTCCCCTTCCCATGAGACTGCAGTTGGCCCATCACCGCCAGCCTGTACCTGGCTTTCCTATACGCTCTGAGGCGGTGGCCACCTTGCTGCCAGGGGGGAAAAAAGGCAGAAGGGAGCAACACCCTTTCCCTCCTGGGGAGGCATGGTGCCGTAGTTTAATGCATGGTCCATTCACTTTTCTTCTGCAAGATGCTGGGCTCGGGACTAAGTCCTTTTGCCTCTGGAGCCATGGTTATGCCAGAGAGTCGCTTG